AAAAAAAAAAAAAATTACTCTTGGCTAAGCGACTGTAGCTCATACATCAGGGCTTATGGGTTCGACCCAGCCTGGGCCCGCTAAACAAACAAAAAAAATCCGGGCGTCATGGTGGGCGCCTGTAGTCCCAGCTACTCAAGAGGCTGAGGCAAGAGAATTGCTTGAGCCCAAGAGTTTCAGGTTGCTGTGAGCTATAACACCATAGTACTCTACCCAGGGTAACAAAGTAAGACTCTGTCTCAGTAAAAATAAATAAATAAATAAATAAAATAAAAATTACTCTTGAGCCAAGAAAATCTAGCCTGAAGGCTGTAACCATAACTGTTCCTTCCCCATTCCCTAAGGCGGGAAAGAAGAATGGAAAATCCTCAAGTCCCCAACTTTCTTTGTTACCTACTTAGCTCTGCCCTTGAGAATTGTTCTATAATTTAGTGCCTCCACCCTGACGATCTTTTTCATAATCAAAAGACCACTGAGATGATTCAGATGTGAGACTATTAACTGTTTCCTTCATTCCATAAACACACACCCTAAAATCTTAAATAAAAATCTCAGAGAATTGGAATCAGGGCAGCACCTATCAGTCTCTACAGGCTAATATGATGTCTGTCTCTCCCAGTTTGCTGTTTCTCCCTTGCCTCCCTGGGGGTGGTCAGGGAAAGTCCCCTCTTAGGGAATTCTCAGTCCCCAGTGTTGTGGTGTCTTCATGATATGTACAGATACATTAATGGTATGGATGTCACACAACTCCATACATTCCTTCCACCCTCACCTGCACACCTGTCCTTTGCAAGCTGGGGACAGATCAAACATTAAATACACTAACACTGATTAGCAAATGAAGGATATCATAGATAAGCAAAAAACATTCTCACAGACTTAACAGAAACTTCTCTGCAGAAGACAGACGAACAGCCAACAAACATATGAAAAATGCTCATTGTCCCTAATCATCAGAGAAATGCAAATCAAAACCACTCTGAGATAGTCCCTAAGCCCAGCAAGAATAGCCTACATCACAAAATCCCCAAGCTGCAAATGCTGGCATGGATATAGAGAGAAGGGAACACTTTTACACTACTCGTGGAACTGTAAACTAATACAACCTCTATGGAAAGAAGAATGGAGAATCCTCAAAGAGTTAAAAGTAGATCTTCTATTTGATCCCCATTACTAGATATCTATCCAGAAGAAAAAAGATCTTTTTATCACAAGGACTTTTACAGCTCAATTCACAATTGCCCAGATGTGGAAGCAACCCAAGTGCCCATCAATCCATGAATGGATTAATAAACTGCAGTGTATGTATACCATGGAACACTATTCAACTAGAACAAAAAGATGGAGACTTTAGATCTTTGTATTTACCTGGGTGGAGTTTAAGCACATTCTTCTTAGTAAAATATCACAAGAATGGAAAAGCAGGTATCCAATGTACTCAGTACTAATATGAAACCAGTAAATGAACAAATACAAGCCCACACAAGAGAAAAACTCAATTTAAGTTGCGGGGAGAAGGAAGGAGAGAAAGGGAAAGGGGAAGAGAGTAGGGTATTGATAAGTTCTCACCTAATGTGCACAATGAAGGGTATACAGTATACCCCCTGGATGAAGGGCTCAACTACAACTTGAACTTTACCTTAGAAACACAATATAACCTAATTATTTGTACCCTCATATTAATCCGAAAATTTTAAAAAATTTTTCTCACAAAATCAGCATGTATGTGGCCCCAGGGCTGTGAGTTCGACACCTGTGCACTACAGGGTCATTCAAGGTTTCCAAAGAAGGTCATTTCCTAAGGAGAGCTCTCTTCTTTAGAAGTCTCTGTCTCTCCTAGAATGATTTCAAATTTAGATTTCAAGTAGTGGGCAAAATGTGGAACACGAGGATTTTCTGAAGAGATTCACTATATAACCTGCTACCATTTTTCTCTCCTATAGGGAGGTGATAAATACACTCAATATAATACTTTAAAAACAACCAATGCTGCTTTAAAATAAAACCTTTCCTTTTTTTTTTTCTTTTTAGGATAAACTTAAAGCTGGAAATGCCCTGGAATTTTTAGGTCTTGAGAGAAAACAATTTGAATGACTGAATTTACTGAAAAGGCAAGCTTTCAAAAAGATACTTCCTTTTTTTTTTTGAAATATATATCATACACATATTACTAAAATCTTACTTTGAACTATTTTAGAAATAATATATTTCCTAAATTATTAGGATATATTAGGATATATTAGGATTATATTATTAGGATATATATTAGGATTATATTAATTATTAGGATATATTAGGATATATTCCAAATATCCTAAATTATTCACAACAAAAATGATTCACAAGTACTTTCATTCTGAAAAGCAGTACATTATTTCATGTGTGAATCAAAAATTATTTCATGTACAAATCAAAAAATTATCAAAGAAAATAAAGATCATACCAACTGAGTATTTAAAAAAATAAAAATGATTTTCCCAGTGTCTTTTATCTCAAAGAATTAAGAAACAACATGTCATTAATGATTTACATCAAGAAAGACTAACCCCTCACCTACCTTAGGATGTTCTTCATTTTGAGCAAAGATATGTGAATTAGACTCAAATAACCTGTTTAATTCACCTTACAATTTCCATTAGCTCAAAACTGATCTGGGAAAGTTTTAACCTCTACAAAATAAAAGACATACTGTTATACCCGAAGCAAGTGGACTAGAGAAACGCCAGCACACTCAGTTCAAATTAAGCAAGGGCCGAGAGCAGGCTCATGCCTCAAAGTCTCTTGATCCCTAGAAGCAGGGGTGGAAACTTCTTATAAGGGGCTTTCAGTAGGGAAGGAGGAGTTCTCAATGCAAGCAGAATTTGACCAGAGCCAACACCTAGTAAGGGGAGTCCTTACAAGGGGAAGCTGGTGTTTTGAAGTTATTATTAGACTCTTTCAGCTGAGCTTCCTGTCTTAAAGGGGTGAAAGCCCTTAGCAAGATGGCATCGGGGCATAACAATACATATAAAATATCCACAACCTTGGAGTTTCCAGCTCATTTAGGAAGCAAGACACGTGTTCATGAAATAATTACTAAGCAATACAACATGATTGTCAAAGAAGTTCCAGTGAGAGGAATTCGCTTTGGTCTCAAAGTGTTGGGCAGATCTTCACAGAGGTTAGAACTTGGGCTGATCCTAGGAGGATGCATAAGGTGTTTTTAGGGGTAAAGGATGGGAAATAGATAGAAAAGCAAAACTATGGGAATGTACCTTTGATTTCTGACTGAATGAGATTTATGCATTCTGGATAAAAGTTCTGGTCTGCAAATTTACTTTTACCAGAAGCTCTTTTAAGATACTGAGTGGAGGCTAGGCATGGTGGCTAATACTTGTAATACTCTGGGAGGCCACGGGGGATGGATTCTTGAGTTCAGAGATCAGCCTGAGCAAGAGTAGATCTGATTGTTGGAGGGCCTAAGGAAAGCACACACAAACCCTTTTCCCCTCCTTCTCCTCCTTTCCTCCTAAGACAAAGACTCCAAGGATCTAGCTAGCCCTACCCCCAGAAGTTCACACCAAAAGACCCTAACCTGACAGGCAACCTTTGGAATGTGTCTACCCCCCATAGCCCCCATATAAAAGTGGTTTCTAAATGCCCCCCAATCCCCCAGTGCAGGCACCATCTTTGCACTGCCCAGACAGCTCACCCTCCCCTTTCAATAAACCTGGCTTGAACATCTCCTCTGTAGCCTCATCTCTGGGTGCCATCATTTAAGCCTTTCACCCATCAGACTAAGAATAGAACTATTAGCCAGGTATTATGGGGAGTGCCTCTAGTTCCAGCTATCAGGAGGCTGAGGCAGGAAGACCACTCAAATCCAGGATTCTGAGGTTGCTCTCAGCGAGGCTGATGCCATAGCACTCTCGCCTGGGCAGCAGAGTGAGAGACTAGCTCAAAAACAAAACTGAGCAAAATATGTAAAGTCACCTATGGAAAGTGAGCAGAGCAATACCAGGGTAGCCTTGTTCCCTTCACTTCATTTATGATTTCACTTTGGCTGCTGAAAAGGAGCTTAGCCTGAGGAGGGGTAAACTACATCTGTGCTTCATGTACCTCTGGCTAAATTCCAAAATAAAATATAACTTTTCAAAACTATCCTCTGACTTTGGACTCATTCATTCTTCTTTCCCTTTCCATTAGCCCAGAAAATCAAGAGTAGAGTATTGATGGGTAATTTGTGCTGACCTCTCTCCAGAAGAAAGAAGAAATATAATTCTTACTTAACTATGCCCATCCCATTGTTTTCACATCATACGGTTCATTCTCCCATCCCCTTCTTGCTCTTCCTGATGCTTTCCAGGATTTTACCCACCCACTGCTCTGCTTATTACTCCTATCTGCCTACAAAGAAAAACAAAGTTGAACAAAACTACAACATGAAGCATATGTTCCTGTTTTTCTCCTTCTCCAATTTTTGGGGGAAATGACTACACCGTTTCAAATATTCTATATTTGAGCACTTTGAACATAATGGTGTGTAATGACTGTTTTACTAAAAAAAGTAACCTGATCACTGTATTCAATATCATATATAGTGAATGGGTATATTCATATTCACTAAGTGCTTTTTTTATTACTGTGCCAAGACTATAGGAATGCTCCAGGCATGCCACAAGTAAACAGAAAGGATAAAATTTCTTCTCTGACAAAGCCTACGATCTAGAGAGTAAGAAATATAAATGAATAAAGGAAGGAGGAAGAAAAAGAAGGAACAGAAGAAGGAAATAAAGAAGGACGTTTTTCTTATACTGATAAAAACTACAAAGAAATTAAGAGAGGAACATGTGATAAAGAGGAGAGATAAAATATTAAATTGTGGGGCCAAAGAAATTCTCTTTAAAGACTTTGAACTTAGATTTGAATGATAGAATGGAGAATTCCAAGCAAAGTGCACAGGCTCCAAGGCAGGAAAGAGCTTATTTGAGACTGGAGTTTGTAAGCAAGGGAAAGAGAGGGAGGAGGTAACACCAAAAGGTCAGCCAGATCAGTAGAACATGATCAAGGGTTTGTATTTTCATTCGGAAATTTTTAAATGGTCTATGACATACTCTAACTTCTGTTTATTTTTTTACAAAAACCATATATATTAGTAGCTATACAAAAAATTATTAATAAAAGCAGCTAGAAAAGAAGTAAGGAGACTAAGCAAGAAATAAACGTTGGTGACTTGGGCAAGAATCCTAGAATGGGGATGGTGAGACATGATTGTAGATAGAAGCAACAGCATTTAATGATGCACTGAATGTGAGGAAGAGGGAGGAAAGGAAGGAAAGAAATCAAGGTTGCTTCCTAGATGTGTGTATGTACATGTGTGTGCTCCCTGGTTCATTCAATCAGTCTCCTATATTTGGACGCTTAGAGAATTTCCAATATTTTGTAATTACTTTCTGCAATATTGATGCTGCAATAAAATCAGATTGACTTCCTACATCAGACATAAAGATAAATGGCAACTCTGATTAGAGCAAAGATTTAACTATAAAAAACTAAACTGTGCAAGGACTAGAAGGTATGAGTGAATTCTGGCTGTTGGGAAGGGTTTTCTAACTGTGAATTTTCTGAGCACACAATTTCTGGGGACATTTAGGTTTTGAGATGTAGTTAATGGTATTAAACTCATCCCTACTTTAGATTTGGATGCCTGGACGCCTAGATTTTTTACTTGAGCACCTGGTTAGACATATTACCATTTACCATGATGAAGAATCGGAGAGAAATAGTTTGGGGAGGAAACACTTTTCTAGTTGGACTGGTTACATTCCAGATGCCTCTTAGACATCTGAGTAGGAATGTCAAGTATTCAGGTGAGTATACTATCCTGGAGAGCTCAAGAGAGAGGTTGGGAGAAAGTCACCAATGTATAAAAGGTATTTTTTTTTTTTGAGACAGAGTCTCACTATGTCACCCTCAGTAGAGTCCTGTAGTGTCACAGCTCACAGCAACCTCAGGCTCAAGAGATTCTCTTGTCTCAGCCTCCCAGGTAGCTGGGACTACAGGTGCCTGCCACAACACCCGGCTAGTTTTTTGTTGTAGTTGTCATTGTTGTTTAGCAGGCCCTGCAGGATTCAAACCTGCCAGCCCTGGTGTATGTGGCTGGTGCCCTAACCACTGAGCTACAGGCACCAAGCCTGTATAGAAGGTGTTTAAAGAAATTACCTCATCTCTATAAATAAATAGATAAATAAACTAACTAAATAAAATGACATCAAGATTTCTAGTCTGATCGAAGTATTGAATTGCTCATTCTTGAGATATGGAGAGAAAAATAAGAGGAGAAGGTCTGCTGGGCATGGAGGCTCATGCCTATAATCCCACACTTTGGAAAGTTGAGGTGAGAGGATTACTTGAGTCCAGGAGTTCAAGACAAGCCTGGGCAACATAGTGAGACCCCATCTATTAAAGAAAATTAATATTAAAAATAAAAATAACAAAAAAAGAAATGAGATCAGGTCAGGTGCAGTGGCTCATGCCTGTAAATCCTAGTACTTTGGGAAGCCAAGGCTGGAGGATCACTTGAGCCAGGAGTTCAAGATATGATTGTTCCACTGCACTCTAGCCTAGGTGACAGAGAGGATCCTATCTCTAAAATAATACTAAAAATGAAATGAAATGAAATAAATGAGACTAGAGGAAATCACCCAGCAAAAAAGTACAGCAGAGAACCAAAAGAACCCAGGACTGATTCCTAGGACTCACTAACACTTAGAAGTCACATAGAAGACCCAGCTTTGTTCCCTGCACAGCAGCCTGTGAAGCAGGAGAAAAGTCAGGAAATGTATTCAGGAGTAAAGAGAAGACAATGCTTCAAGAAGTCCTAACAGCTTTACGCATACAATTTTTAAAAAATCAAAGCCACAACACAATGGTATTTTATATGGAACCATATGCTTGATTCCACTTTCCGTAGTCCCAACCCCGATTAATGCAATCACCCAGTGGCCTAAATCCTCTGCCTCATCCATACCAAATATGCCATTAAATCCAATATTCTACCAATTCTACACCTTTTTATTTCTTATCTATTCTTTCTTCTCTGTGGCTTCCAACTAAACTCAGGTCTTCATCTCTCAACAGGACTACTGAAATCTTCCCTTATTTGTATTCTTGCCCCTGGGCTTAGTCTGGTATAATCCATTTTCCATCCTGGTGCTAGAG